CAGTAACTGAGCAGATTGTGAAATACTCAGACCGGCCCGTCTGCACCAACAACCATTGAGTTCTCCTCTGGCTAATGAACGAACAGTGTGCGTTGTGGTCGTGTAATAACATTAATATAACAATATTATTTTCACATAGTTGTTAAAATATATTTTATATTAGTTATAATAATATATTTTAGTTGACCTATCAGCACATATATTTTGTGATATATATATATATATATATATATATATATATATATATATATATATATATATATATATATATATATATAAAATTACTGTGATCAACATTAAATGGTATTAAAAATACTCATACCATGATTGATTTTGGTCATACCAACCACACATGGTAGCAGGCGAATGACTCAATCTGTATCTCAATAGGCCCTGTGGCTGGAAGCTATTCATGCAAGCAGGTCTCAGGAGATTTACATTCAACTCACACTCCTGCTTGATTCTCACCAGTTTATTCACCCTGCCCCATTCTCTAGTCAAGGGAGTCATTTCTCATCCCTCTCTTTATTGCACATGTTCTCAGTTACAGATGTGCTTGTGCTCTTTTGGGAGAGAAAGACATAATGCCCCTGGCCAGAGAAAACGAGATAGTAACTAAAAAAAGGATGTACAATGACTGATTTATACATACTAGTAAGGTAGATTTAACGAATATTTTGTTAATGGTAAATTATGATTGACAATATGTGATAAGATTTTAAAGTGCTAAATGTTTGCGGTTATTGCAAAAAATCACAATTGTATCAAAATTACTTTCAGGCGATTCAATAATCAGGAAAGAACTAAATAGAAATATAGCTGCAAGCAGCCATTACCGGGGCCAAGCGCAAAAGCAGTCATAAGCTCAGGAATCAGAGGAAGAAATAATTATTACGAATCTTACGGTTCAAAAGTTATTGGCATAATATGAGTGAAACTTTGGACAGGTGGTGGTGCTAGAGGCAATGAGTTAGAGACAACAAAATTGGTGTATTTAATGTTGGAACTGTCCTCTATCAGAATATCAAACCATAACAACTTTCCCGCAAACGGTTCTATGGGCTGCCATAGACGCCCAGTCGGCAGAAGAATAATAAGAAGAAGAAGAACGGGAACAGACACAATAGGTGCCTCCGCACCTTCGGTGCTTGGCCCCTAATAAAATGGGGTTGCATATTGTAAATGTAATTCATTCCTGTTGTGAAATGCACCTAAAGATATCCAGATATACAAACACAACAATGATATACAACAATGGCTTTCCAAACATTCAGATTCACCATTTATATTACCATGTTTCTTTCTAAACAAACCCTCAAGCCCAAATCAATTGAGTGACTTCTTTTCAGGCTGGCATGCTGTGAACACAGAAATCCACCCACGCTACGGCTCAGAGTTTATGCTGTTTCAGTCCGTACGTTCGCTTGACTCACTTTTCATGAAAAATGCTCACAGAAAACATAACCCGACTCTGCAAACAAACACACTAGAGGTACGTGTTTGAGCAAAACAATAAAAGCTTTATATTGTGCATGAATTCGTTCTCTAGATTCATGGGGCATTAACAAGCTCTTTATAACAGAAATTTTGTGGTCACACAGCAGCAGAACCTAATTGATAGACTAGCTGATTTCAGATCAGGTTTTACATGACACATTCCTCCCACATAACAGAGACAGATATGCAACACTTCTATAACCCCTCCTCTTTCCAAAAGCACATTCTACTGGCACTGCCAAAGTTGCCATGGTAATGGGTTTTGAGGCATGAAAAAAAACACGCCAATATGAGTCCTGATCTCCCTCTACTTCCCTCAGTAAGCACCATGCTATTATCTGAGGCTGGATGTACTGTAATAGTTAATAAATAATACTAAAATAACACGTTTACAGTTGTTTTACATTTGAATATAGTTGTTTATAGACTGATTGTAAACTGTTGAAATTCCAGTCAAGTTTATTCATCTTCGGCTGTAGGACAACAACTGAGATATGATGCCTGATGGTGACACCTCTTCCCAAGGATAAAGTTGGGGCCAATTGACCTTTTGCCGGCCCCTCCCCCAAAACGGCCATTGTCCAATCACACATCATAGCAACCGTTACTATGTGAGCAGGTCCGTCAAACATTGACTCCAAGCAAGATGGTGAAGCGGTGCGCCCACGGCGTTTGTAAATCGGACACTAGGTACCCCGAGAGATTGTCTGGAGAGGAGTTGTGTTCTTTCCGTTTCCAAAGCCGGAAACACAACGTGAGCGGTGCCTACTATGGATAAAAACAGTGTGGACGGCCCCACTCCCAGTTAAATGTGTCGAACATGGTTAACTCGCGTGCAGCGTGCGTGAGACTGAGACACTGAGATTAGTCAAAGAAACATGGAGAAAGCAGATCAAGAGGATCCACAAAGGAATTACGTTTTCTAAAGGGTTGTTGTTAACATGATATTCTCGGGGGAAAATGAGCAGCAGTCAACTAACGTTAGCAGTGCAGCACCCGTAGCTACAGTTTAGAGGAGTGCACGTTCGCAACGGGGAAAGCATGAAGCTTACTTGACAACATCAGTTCATATATCAATACGTAACGAATAGAAATAACCTTAAATAATGTATGGTTATCGGCATCTTTCCGTCTCTTATGTACAGTTACTTTTTAAACACGAAAATCGCATTCAGCATGACACGCAGGCGGTTGCCATGGTAATGAACAACCTGCTTGTTAAAGAGAATGTATAATCCTGTATCTGAGGCAAAATTACTAAATATGCAGCACGAGTTATATATTTCTAACTCCAAACAATTAGCCACTGAACCAGCTTATAAAATCTTCTTCAAGGCTGTGCTGGTTGCATTTGGGGTACAGGTCATGGGGTTTCTCAGATTTCGACGTTAACGTTAAGCATTAGCCTCGATAGTAGTCGTGTTCACCTTCATTGCGTATTTTTATATTTTGAATATATTCCTCCACTGCATACTGTAACCCCTTTTGCCTCGATCTGGAGGATATCGCTGAGGTATTGCTCCAAAAAAGGTCATTGTGACACGCACGGGTATACCTATTCCCGTCATGGCAATCTGTCGCGCTGGTCGTGTTTGACGGGCGTAGTAACAATAACTAGGGGGCGTGGCTTTTGCAAATGGTCAATTGCATTTATTGTACATTTCAATGGCTGCTTAAATAAAATTCAAAAAAGTTTCAATATTAAGGAGTATTATTAAGAGTCCACACCACAACCACAACGATAATGGCAAAAAGGAACGATTTTGTTGGAATCACTTTCAAAACATTTTTTTTCCAGTTGATGAACGATTAAAAACATTGACAGAATCCAATCATAATACAACTGACTTTAAAGAGCTATAGCATTTTAAGCAGCAGATGACAAAACTGCAGTGCACACTTATAATAATAACAACAGGTTGTTATAGTGGACTGGAATGGACGCTATTATAGTTATCACTATAGTAATCTTTATATTTATTGCTCTTGGTGTGAACGTTTACTCAAGTCAGGTACACAAATAATACTTTGGTACAATAATGAATGATTACTCAAGGACTTTACACTCTTACTAAAATGTCTAAATCAGACTGCAAGGCCTTTTTTCTGTGCTGGGCCCAACAAGTTGCCCATTTATCTCTGGAATAGCTTGGAGACACTGATGGTATTCTAGAGCGAGAGCCGCTCTTACTGAATGTGAAGAGGGAAGGAGAGCAAGCTGTTGGCTTGTCAGCAGAAGAGGGAATGGGAGGACACTGCAACATTTGAGTGCATGTAACTATAATCACTGATCACCCCCCCCCCCACAGCTACACAGCTCTTTATGCACAGAGAGATCATGCTCATTAAGTTGATAAGAATCAGGCAGAAAGAGCTGTGTCAGGATGCCTACACACACATACACAGTAGAGTGAGGATATGCGGGTTTCTGATATTCAAGTTTGCATGAAGCACATTACATCATACTTAGTAGTCCATTGCGTAAAATCACTTCCCACCCAGAAATCTTTCAACTAAAAGTCACTTTCCCACAACCATAATTTGAGCCATTGCACTCCTCATTAAACACCCGACTAGCACTGCAAAACACACAAGCCACCCAGGCAACACAGGCAGCAGTTTCTCTAAATCTTCCTTATGTTTCCAGAGGAAACAACCACCTGCCAAAGCAAATGTGTCATTTGATCATGTTTGTAAATCTTAGTGGACGTTTATTGAGCGTGGAACGTGGTGAAATAGCTTGTAGACACTGCGTCCAGTCTCAGTTAAATTGGATATGCTTATTGGCAGCTCTTGAGATACGAGACAATAGTGTTAGTCTGATTATTTAAACGACCAACTCAGCAGTTCCACACATCTGCACATGTAAACACTGCAGGATGTGTGGGAATCAATGGTGCTGCTTTTGGATCTCAGATTCCAAGCTAACCATGTGGAACAGAGCCTGGCTGAGTCGCAACACAGTATCGGACGGTAACCCCAAATCACTGATGGACATAAAGTATCAATCAAACCTACAGGAAAACTGTGGTGCTCAAGTGGGCATTACAGGTTTAAGTCCAAACTGGGATGCCTTTCTCTCCCTAGTAATTCCCTTTTTATAGCACTATAAATAGAAAAACTGTGGTGAATTTACTAAATAGAGTTGATTCTTAAAGGCTATGATTAAAGAGATTACCCAAAAATTGTAACTTTTTCACCATTTACTTACCCTCATTTCTTTCCAAACCTGTATGTATTTCTTTCTTCTGCTGAACACAAAAGATATTGTGCAAAATGTTGAGAACCAATCAACATTGGAGCCCATTGACTTCCATTGTCATAATAATAAAAAATAATAAAAAATAAAAAAAAACAGTGGGATATCTTTCAAAATATCTTCTTGTATGTTTTCACAGAAGAAAGAAATTCATAGAGCTTTGGAATGACATAAAGGTGAGCAAACAATGAGAATTTCCATTTTTAGGTTAAACTATCCCATTAAGGAAAAAAAGAGAACTCACCTGGAGAACCCAACAGTAACTGCACAACATCGTCATATAGCAGGAGAGTGGCCGGTCTCTGGGGAAGTAAATATAGACTTACGGAGGCGTATACTGAAACACAAGTGAGAGAGAGAGAGAAACAGAGGGATAAGTACACTACTGTTCAAAAGTGTGGGGTCAATAAGATGTTTTTTTAAAAAGATATTAATACTTTTGTTCAGGAAGAATGCATTAAATTGTAAAAATAAGTAAAAAGTAAAGACATTTATAATGTCACAAAACTTTTCTATTTCAAATAAATGCTGTTCTTTTTAACTTTACATTATTAATCAAAGAATCTTGAAAAAGGTATCAAGTTTTTACCAAAATATTAAGCGGCACAACAGTTTACAACATTGATAATAATAAATGTTTCTAGAGCATCAAAACATCATATTAGAAGGATCATGTGACACACGAAGACTGGAGTGATGATGCAGATAATTCAGCTTTGCCATCACAGGAATAAATTACATTTAAAAAAATATAAAACACATTTTAAAAGGTAATGATATTTCACAATATTATTGTTTTTACTGTATTTTTGATCTAATAAATCAGTAGGTCTACATATGCGATAAAAAGGCAATATATAATAACAGTATGCTTTACATTCATAAATACTGTGCATTCCACTCTATTCATATACACACAATGTTTATAATTTATATACATAACAATAAATTAATCATACGGTAGTGTATTGACGTATAGATGTAATTAATATACCTTAGCTGGTCCATATGCATGTCTCAAGAGAAAGTTCATTCTACTTCATGCTGCATTAGCTTAGCATGATAAACTTCTGAATTGTACTTAGCCTTATTTGTATGCTATTTGTCCATCCACATGTCCATACAAAATCAGTTTATCTTCCACTGTCTCATTTTCAGGAATCCTTTACCCTGGAGAGCACAAGGATGTTGTTTTCCCTGTAATATACAGTAGTTCACCAGATGTAGCTGCTTACTCACAGGTGTGAGACATGACTCAGCACAGTCAATTTATTGCAACACAACAGGAAACCGCGTTCTCGCTTCAAACAAGCCTTTGATGACAGACACCATGTAAAACCTGACAAAATCTGAGATAGCCCTGCAGCTATTTGTCTTCCTGTCAAACACTACCAGACCTTCAGCTCTGTTGCCGTTCAGTGGATCTTTGTTTTGGATCCATCAATATTTTGTCCAGAGGACCGACTCCTAAAGATGTAAAAACCAGAGCCTTTGACATATTATGTGAAGTATGAGAAGCATAAAATAAATGTTACCCATTGGCATGCCAACATTAAATATTTATTTATTTAAAAGTCTTTTTTAGTCACCTATCTTTGTCAGCTAATCTGAAATGTACGGGCAGGAGGACATATGCTGGCAGTACTCCAGAAGACTGCTGCATGCTGGGTGCAGAAATCCTCTGTGTCTCTTTCCCATCTGCTATGGCACATTGTAATGTCCCCCTGACTACCCTGAGCTCAACGTTTTCCAGTGTTTATTTCATAAGAACATGATTTTATTCAATCTCTTTAATGTAATGAATGCTCTCAGGATTATTAGCAAAAAAACTAAACAAGTTTGATCAGTTTCTATATGGAGAATGTAGCAGGCCACCAAAAGACATTAGGACCCAAATGCACAGTAGAATGCATTTAGATTTCCCTGAGATCAAGAAAGCTTGTCACTTGCAGGAACAGACTGTAGGAAACATGACACAGGCGATTCATGCACATTTACACCCATGCAGTTATGCATACATGAATGCACACACAGCACAGATGCCCTGAACAGAAGGGGCTCTGCTCTCTTTAATATTCTGCTTGGTAGGTATGTGAACAAAATAAAGGGAACAACAACAATACTGCCCACACTGCATTAGTTAGAAGCTAAAAGAAAAGTGTGTATGAAGTGAGGGAGGGTAATGCATGGACATTGAGTGGTTTCATTTTACATCATTTGTAACCTTAGTTACCTTCTGAAGCATTGTGACGACACATAACACATTTATACACCCTGGCTTTGATGATAGAGAATTCACTCAGAATAATGTATAGAGATGCACAATACATTAGTACAATATCTGTTATCGGCCATGAGAGTCATCTACCGTTCACTTTATCTTTTACCTCATTTTATCTTTAAAATAATTCATTAACACTGTTAAATGTTATCTTTGACAGATCTCAAAATAAATTTCCATTTTTCATAATGTATATAATAATGTTGTGGTGTCTAAATCGACTTGTAGCATTTAAAACACCATATTTTAGGTTTCAGTTTTACTTCAAATATATTTAAAGACAAAAGAATATGGAATTTTAATATCAAGCATTTATAATTTAAATAATTATAAGCTGACCTTAATTGGTGTCAGTGTGAACACTTGTTTAATAGATAATTTAATAGTGAACTGTTCCTTTAAATGCTTTGGGGTCGCTGCAGATGGCCTCAAGCTAATATTCTCTAGTTATATCTCATATATTTATTAATACCATGTCCACACAGACGCGTTTCAGGCACCCTAAGCCATCATCAGTGTGTGTCACACACTGAAACGCGTCTGTGTGGACATGGTATATGAGATATAACTAGAGAGTGCGGATTTTCATCTTTATTTGATAACTTTATAACTCGCACCCATAAACGGTTTGGGAGTTGAGCGCGCCTGTTCTCAGCACTCAAGTTAATATTAGCATGAATTGAAAGACACAAAACCCAATTGTGATATCATAGGCTTTTTAAAACTAGTAAAATATAATTATTCAGTTAAACCATAATGGACTAAGAGAGATAGGCCAATGGAGGAAAGAACAAGTGTTCCCGAGAATCCCGACTTCAATTGATTTAATCTGAGCCTCAAGCAACTGCCTCATTACTCCATGAGAATGACTCTCTCCCGAGTTTGCGTGACTCACACAGATTATCAAAGTGCTGCAGGGACAGTTAAAACTCCATGACACTGTAGTTTTTTTTAGAAACCCTTTTTCAGCATGGCTAAGAGACAAAATGGAGGAGGAAGAAGGGGGCAGATGTTTTGGTACCAAACAGATTGGAGTTGGTGTACAGACCAATGCATTATTATCATTCAAATGACTGGCATCAAGTCATTTTCACACCGCTGCTAGTCATGTAATTCATCTGCCCTGCATTAAAACAACCATCCAGATTAAAACATGAGTCTGCCAATTAAAAGGATTTTAACTATTAGTACGATTATAACCATCACATGCAGATGTAAATGAACAGGGACTGAATGATATATATATATATATATATATATATATACACACACACTCACCGGCCACTTTATTAGGTACCCCATGCTAGTAACGGGTTGGACCCCCTTTTGCCTTCAGAACTGCCTCAATTCTTCGTGGCATAGATTCAACAAGGTGCTGGAAGCATTCCTCAGGGAGTTTGGTCCATATTGACATGATGGCATCACACAGTTGCCGCAGATTTGTCGGCTGCACACCCATGATGCGAATCTCCCGTTCCACCACATCCCAAAGATGCTCTATTGGGTTGAGATCTGGTGACTGTGGAGGCCATTTTAGTACAGTGAACTCATTGTCATGTTCAAGAAACCAATTTGAAATGATTAGAGCTTTGTGACATGGTGGAAGTAGCCATCAGAGGATGGGTACATGGTGGCCATAAAGGGATGGACATGGTCAGAAACAATGCTCAGGTAGGCCGTGGCATTTAAACGATGCCCAATTGGCACTAAGGGGCCTAAAGTGTGCCAGGAAAACATCCCCCACACCATTACACCACCACCACCAGCCTGCACAGTGGTAACAAGGCATGATGGTTCCATGTTCTCATTCTGTTTACGCCAAATTCTGACTCTAACATCTGAATGTCTCAACAGAAATCGAGACTCATCAGACCAGGCAACATTTTTCCAGTCTTCAACTGTTCAATTTTGGTGAGCTCTTGCAAATTGTAGCCTCTTTTTCCTATTTGTAGTGGAGATGAGTGGTACCCGGTGGAGTCTTCTGCTGTTGTAGCCCATCCGCCTCAAGGTTGTGCGTGTTGTGGCTTCACAAATGCTTTGCTGCATACCTCGGTTGTAACGAGTGGTTATTTCAGTCACTGTTGCCCTTCTATCAGCTCGAACCAGTCTGGCCATTCTCCTCTGACCTCTGGCATCAACAAGGCATTTCCGCCCACAGAACTGCCGCTCACTGGATGTTTTTTCTTTTTCGGACCATTCTCTGTAAACCCTAGAGATGGTTGTGCGTGAAAATCCCAGTAGATTAGCAGTTTCTGAAATACTCAGACCAGCCCTTCTGGCACCAACAATCATGCCACGTTCAAAGTCACTCAAATCAACTTTCTTCCCCATACTGATGCTCGGTTTGAACTGCAGGAGATTGTCTTGACCATGTCTACATGCCTAAATGCACTGAGTTGCCGCCATGTGATTGGCTGCTTAGAAATTAAGTGTTAACGAGCAGTTGGACAGGTGTACCTAATAAAGTGGCCGGTGAGTGTATATATATATTAATGTTATAACATTTTTTTTATTTGATATTAACCTATTGTATACTACTGCTTTATAGATATTATAGCATAACCGATGAACTTCAACAGTTTTTGAACTGAACTGAATCAACATTGAAATAATTCAACTGAATAATGACTGTTTAATATTGTCTAGAGCTGCTTTACAGCAGAATTTAATTTTGTTTGCATCATTGGATCGTTATTATACTGTAAAGCTGCTTTGAAACAATCTGTATTGTATAAAGCGCTGTATAAATAAAGGCGACTTGACTGACAAAGTGGCGGGAAACGAGTTGTCCTTCTGGCCTGCATGCAAAAACAAACACACAAGCAGGCCTAGAGTAGTTGAACGATAATAACAAAATGCCCCAAATAAATCTGATTTCAAAAATTAATTAATCGAGAGCTTGTGGGAAAATCTCTATCAATACCAAACTCTACTTACCAACTCTATGTGACTTTTTTCATTTTGGACAGTTGATTGGTCTTGCGATCAATACCATGAATATATCTTACATTTCTAATATCACTCAGACTTTGGGCATAGTATCTTAATCTCGAATTGATTCCTGTAAATTGATCTGTATAGTATAAACTTTGTCTAATGACAAAGGGACTGTGTCCTCACAATTCAATTCATCCATTAACTTCCTTTCTTCCGCAACTTCATTTCATCTACACCAGGGGTGTCCAAACCTGCTCCTGAAGAGTCACTGTCCTGCAGAGTTTAGCTCCAACTTGCCTCAACACACCTGTCTGGAAGTGTCTATTATGCCTAGTAAGACCATTATTAGCTTGTTCAGGTGTGTTTGATTGGGGTTGGAGCTAAACTCTGCAGGACAGTGACCCTTCAGGACCAGGATTGGACACCCCTGATCTACACAATATGTCATCATTTTTGACAGCATCTCCTAATTTGGTGTGACTCAATGGGAATGTGTGCAATGCCCCCCCAAGAGGCTAATGTCATACTAAATATGCCTTCATTCACCAGCCCGGCAGGTCTGGCACGACATGGAGCCACATTTGCTGGCTGTCTCCATATCTGTAACCCCTCTGGCTAAGTGGCTTCCAGCTGCTCGTACAGACAGCTTTATGCTGAAATACATGATTTCACTGCCTCCCCTCCCCAGAGGTCTGACCGCATAACTGGGTGGGGTTTGGGTGGAAAGAGAGGGGCGGAGGAAAGCATGATGTTGTCCAAACAGAATTAAGCCAACCTTAGAGCGAGAGAGTCAAAAGAGGACACGGCCTTCTGGGGCCCGACTCCGAGCAGCTGCTAGGTATCACAACGCGGGCCGGCACGCTCCACACCCCAGTGAGTGTTGTTTAACATTCCTGTCCATTTGTGTGCAAAGCTCCATCTGGATTTTAGATCTAGATGGTTCATCTACGAAGCCAACAGATCGCAAATTACTCGTCAGATTCGGAAAGTTCACTGAGGCCATGAGCAAAAATGTCACAATGTTAACAGTTGCACTCGATTCAGATTCGATTACGATTCAGAGCATCTGAATGCATGCATCTTTTTTTTCTACAATTGTATGTTAAGAATTTTCAGCTAACTATATAGGCTATCCTATAGCTTCAAAACATACAATCTAATTGGCCGCATTCACACTAATGTACAGCTCTATTTTGACATATCAGATGTTTGTCCTGTCTGTCTAATCCCTTAAAACATAAATGACTGTTTACATTCATTTCGGGTCATGAAAGCAATTTGAGCTGCAAGTGTATTCTGTGGTTAAAAAATGAAACTTCATAATCGATTCAGAATTGTTGAAGAGAGAATCGATTTTTTTCTCTCACCCTTAATCTAGATAGAAGCCAGGAACCTTTTAATCTACAGTCAAATGCTTCAACTATATCCCTCATTTTTAATAAGGGATTAACATGATTCCAGAGAAGCCCATATACACTAACTGGTCTTGCTCTAATAGTTTTGACAGGAAGTCCAGTTAATGCGCGTGCATTTCAGAATGAAACTGAATACTCGGTTTCTAATAATAATCTGCAGGCTTCCCCCAACACAATGTAGAAAAAGTTCAGTCTTCCAATAGTAAAGGAAGTACTCACGTGGGATGCGGCTGGCATGCCAGGGTGCTGAGTTTGTGACAAATCCATGCTTTGATGCTGTGACGATGACCCACGTTCCTGGCCGGTACAGGAATGTAAGTGTGACAATCCCATCTCCTCCAGCAAGACTGGATGCTAAGATGCTCTGGTTTCCACACACCTGAACTGTGGATTCCTTTAGGGGTGACAGGTCGCTGTTATCGAAGACCTGGACTTTAATCAGCACCTCTGTGAAAACAAGAATTAAAGACTTTTTAAAAGAGGACATATGTTTTTTTTTATATATTTCCAACTTTCTTTAGTGTGTAATGTTGCTGTTTGAGCATAAAAAAGGTCTTTGCTACATTACAAAGCACAAAGTCCCTCCAAAGGGAGTTATTCTCTGTATCAGTAAGCACTGTTTTTGAACTCCCAGTAACATCTTGATTGTAGTCTTGAGTTTCACAATATTCCTCATTTAAAATAAAAAGGGGGACGAGGCCTGGTTGAGTTGTGTTAGTGTGCTGAAACTCGCGTTCACAGCGCTTGCGTCCGCGTAGAATTGACGCGTTGTTACATTTTTGGAGAGGTGCACGTCAGGGTACGCTGAAGGGTATGCGCGCTACATAGCCTACGATGTAGCTATGGCGTGAGTTCGACCTCCTGCCGTAGCTACGTCGTAAGCTGTGTGTAGCGCGCGTACCCCGACGTGGACCTCTCCAAAAATGTAACAACGCATCAATTCTACGCGTACCGCAAGCGCTGTGATTGGTCTGCTAGAACCACTCCCCGGGTTTCACATGCTCCCTCTGCATGCGTAATTGCGCGTCAAGGCGGACAACGACGCAGAAGTATAAATGAAAACCAACGCGTAGTCTATAGCGTAGAGGCTCCGGCGTAGGTCCGACGCAGAAGTATAAATCAGCCTTAACGGTGCAGATAAAGTATAAATCAGCCTTAACGGCTTGAGAGCCACCAGAGGGCACTCCACATTAGACTATTGTCATTCCCTCACAAACTACATTTCCCATAACTCACTGCCTGGACTCTTCATTCATTATCACATTCACCTGTTGTACTTTATCTTGTTTAGCTCACCCCATATAAGCCTGGTTTTCTCATTCATTATCTGCAAAGTCTTGGTTAGTGTTACACTGCAATTCAGAGCATTCACCCTGGTTTAATGTGTCGTGGTTTTGGATTTCTTGCCTGTTACGTGGATTACTGTTTTGCCTGTGTTCCCTGCCTTGTGTTTGTTTGTATGGACTCCCTGTCTGCGTTTGACCTTGCCTGTACTGTACGTCTTTGGATTTCCCTGTTCAATAAATACTGCATTTGGATCCTCAACCTTCTTGTCTCGGAGCAGTTCGTGACAACTACCATGGTAAAAATGTAACTATATCGTTTTTATGGTATTTGTATGAAAAACAGTAGCAGATTAATTTAGTATAAATGCACAAATACTATGGCCTAATCACAAAAATTACTGTAATTATATTCCATTACTTCTTTAATACGTGCAGACAAACAGGAGAAACACTGCGCAACGATACAGTCAGAAGGCTTTTCAATCTACAAATCATTTCCTAGAAATGTGGGATATTATTAATGTAGACATGTTTCATGTACTGCACTGTTTCATCTGAATTTAAGTTTAAATCTTATTAAATCTTCAAATTTGTGTTCTTTGCTAAATTTAAGCGCTTCTAAGTTCTCACTGGATCTCACAGCGCTGTTTAGTGGTCGTGTGACCGAGACCACCGAGTAAATGCATCAACTATAGTAAGCTTCGCTAGCTACCATTTGAACTTTGAGCCGAGCGGATAAATTGTCCGTGTGGAGTAGTTCAAATGACTAGCACTGTTTCGTTCCACTTTTGATGCATAAACGTTAAATCGAAAATTTATCGAACTCTTGAAATCTTTTTGTCGAGGAAAAATATTATAATAATTCTTTATCGTTTTATCACCCAGCTAGGTGCAATCTGTTCCAAATCTACCTGTCCCTCAATCTACGATTGCCAGTTTTACATGTTAGTCAGACCATCTTTTCCTTTCTAACTGATTGATAAGTGGTAAACTGGACCACAAACAAAAGCTTGCTACACAAGACTACATCCGTGTATGATACTAAAATTTAGTCTAGTCTTATTGACTTATTGACCTACACATTCACTAAGAGTTGATCTTAGAACCTCTAGACCCAGTGACCTGAACAAATGACATGACTATGTTTAGAAGTGTCTGTCCTGAACCGAAACGTGAAGTACTCTGGTTTGTTTACATTGAAGACCAGAAAGCACGGAGTGCAGTTGAGTCTCTAACTCAGTGAGCCAGATTGTCTGCCACCATGTTCGATTGACACTGGGCAAATGCAGCAATGTTGTCTGGTTTATTTCCTGGACATGTGCTTACTGTTCGAAACGGATGACCTGGTTCACCCATAGAATTTTTACAAGCCATTTAGAGACATGTAAACAGGCCAGGGAGATGGCAAGTCTTTGCCCTGTTTTTTGGAGATCTGGGTACACAAGGTTCCGTCTGGATTCATGAAGTTGAAAATATTCTAAATACATTAAAATATAGGTTTTAAGTTTCAATTTTTTTTCTGCAAATGTATTTTTATTAATTCAACTTTTTACTTTAAAAGTCATGTTTTCCAACCTGAACCGAATACCAATGTTTGCTTTGCTTTCTGTTCACGCGTGCATGCTGCAGTGTCCTTCAGAACGTCTCATTCTTTTGATTCTAAATGGGTCAATTGATGCATGTTACCATGGATACTAGGAGATGTCAGCAGGCTAACTGTGGGAAAAAATGGGTCCCTATTTCCTGGTGAGGGGATACAAGTTCGGTTCAGAAAATAAGATCCTTTGAGTTTGTGATGGGCTGTAGATCTAATTGCACACCACAGATTAGGGGTGGGAGATATGACCAAAATCTTATATCATGAAACGAGTAATTTTATTTTACAATAACCAATTTATATCACAATATAGTTATTTTTGCTTTAAATAAGGTTGATATAAAAAATTGATACAATTGACTAATTTCAATATCACAAAAATAGGCTTATTGCCTAACTAAATAAAAAAACAAGCTTACTGAAGAAATGTAAACAATCAGTTATAAAATAAGATCAAAGAAACGAAGTACAAGCAATAGAACAAAAACTATAGAATGAAGACACAAATGAAAAAGACCTACCTGATAAACTTCAAGCACTAGAAATCAGAAATACTACATAAATTATATAGACCTATCATTTATATATAATAATTATATATAAAATTAATAATAGTTATTGTGGTTTGGAATTGGTAAAATGTGCATGGAAAAAAGATATGATCAGAATATCGACTTGCATCATAATTATGCACGGCACGCACTCACTGTATACACACACACACACACACACACACACACACACACACACAAAAACTCATATTATTTTTAGTCAATTTCTAAAATAAAACCTTTAGACCCTTTAACCGAAAGGAATCAGAGACAGCGACATGCTTAATATATTATTACATTAATATATATTTTATATTACACATTCATGATTCCTCAGAGGAACATTAACAGAGCTGAAAAGCTTTTTAAAACAAAATTGAAAGAATCTTCACTTCCACTCAGCCACAAGGATTTCCTGCACACAATTCCATTTCCTGTCTATTGTTTGAGTCGAAGTGCAAGGCGCAAATAATCCAGGAAACTTTTCAGCGACATAAAAGTTCTCAGCCTCAGCGGAAAACTGAACTCACAGAAAAACTTATTTTACTACAACTAAATGTTTATTGAAAACTAAAACAAAATTTGGCATATATAAATATTTGTCTGCCTTTGAGTGGAATGTGAAAAGGAACCCTACATTTTTCTACTCTTTCCATGTTTAGTCCTGTCCACTGTGATAGTCTCTTTAAAACAAACAGCACTTCATTATTTGCTTGTATTAGGGAGCGAAATCTCTTCCACTCACTCACACAGTGGCCGTCAGCGTTTCCCTGCAGGCTGCGTGTCTTTGTTATAGGCAGCTGATGAGACTGCATGGAGACCACAGCACTCGGAGTGAAGCAATAATGGACATTTGCCAGCAGTTTGCAAAGTCTCACTTTTAGATAATAAACATTTTCAACATTTCCACCCTGTTGAAATGTCTTCTAGTACCACTTAACAGACCATAAACATCTCAAAATACACAATTATCAATATAAACCATTAAGTTATGCTTTTTAAACTTTTTTTATGCAAATCTCTCTATATCTTTATCTCTGGTTTTGTATTGTAAATCCTTACTGTTCGGGCAAGTGTTACGACAGAATTGAAAATGGAAGTCCTACAAGACAAATTTCTGCTCTACATCTCCAGAAACACAGGTTACAACCATGTGAAAAAGGTGGTATTAACTGGTTGAGAGGTGGTCCTGGTGTCACCAATGGCTCCAGACCACTCTGTTGTTTTTTCAGGCAGGCAGATGATGTGTTAATAGCCAAGCAGGAATGTATGCCTGCCAGGAGCCCTGTTTGCCAAAACCACTGGGTTTCACTGGGATGCTCAGACATAAAGGCAGCATAGCTGTAACCTCACTGTGAGGGCTGAATAAACAGCACATTTCAGAGCTAAAACACAGACAGTGATGTATTTGTGGTAGCAGGGTCCAAAATTAACATTCAATCAGCACTAACAGCAAGTAAAGATTTGGCCAGAACATAATACATACTTAAAACATAATACATCATTTAAGTTGATTTGTAAATTAAATATTTTACTATTGCTGAAGTGATGTGCACAAGTGTCCACATGATAAGCCACCAAAATAAAAATATGAGAAACGTCTTATGATTATGTGAATGATGACATGGTCAGTGACACAATGTTCTGTACTATAATAGAAGGAAACCGCAAAATAGTTACATTTACACAAGAATACAAATATATAAAGTAATAGAAAAAAATATTTATGTAATAAATTATAAATTAACTCTATAAAATTAAATTAATTGTATTTTAATTTTCAGTCACACTTTAGATTAGGGTTCCAATTTTGAGTATTAACTATTAAGTACAAGGTTTGCCTCTATAAACTTCTAAGTACTTCTTATTAATAGTTAGTAAGGTAGGTATTGGGTATAGGATTGTAGAATATGATCATGCAGAATAAGGCATTAATATGTGCTTTATAAGTACTAATAAACAGCAAAAATCCTAGTAATATGCATGTTAATAAGCAACTAGTTAATAGTGAGA